GTGTACCTGCATGCCAGCAACAGTATGTGAAGGTTATTTAAGTACAGGTATACGTAATAATAATTTATCCAGAGTATATATAAAATATGAAATAACTTTTAAAATCACTTAAAATTTTGAAGTTTTCAGACATAATGGAGAGACTTAGTGCTTACGGATCTCACAGAGAATGTAAACAAACCAGGTGGGGTACGGTGACCGTATTAGAAAGTCAGGTGGGGGGAGCCGTATAGCGAGTTTTGGTCATAATTTGAAATGACCGTATTAGCGGAATGCCGTAAAGCAAAACGCCGTAAAGCGGGGCCCTACTGTACCTGAAAGAACCCTTTTGGGTTAGTCTTTGAATCCCTTGCGACCTTAGCCTCATAATCTCTTTTTGCTTTTCTTATTCCTTCATTTCTTTCTTCAATTGAATATACAGTGGGCCCCCGCATAACGATTACCTCCGAATGCGACCAATTATGTAAGTGTATTTATGTAAGTGCGTTTGTACGTGTATGTTTGGGGTTCTGAAATGGACTAATCTACTTCACAATATTTCTTATGGGAACAAATTCGGTCAGTACTGGCACCTGAACATACTTCTGGAGTGAAAAAATATCGTTAACCGGGGGTCCACTGTATTGATTTCTTAACTGCCCATCTCCTCTTTTGATACACCTATATATGCCTCTCTTTTGACCAATGAGATGTTTTAATCTATTGTTCATCCATTTGGGATCATTTTTGTTAGATCTAATTTCCCTACTCGGAACAAAAGTTGTCTGGGCAGCTAGAACTATGCTCTGAAAAACGTCATATTGGCAACCAAGATCACCTACCTGACCCATAGTTAGGACATCCCAATTTAGCCCACCCAAGTAATTTTTCAGTCCCATGAAGTCGGCCAAGTGAAAATCTGGGACAGAGATTTGATTGCAGTTATCTGGGTAATTCCATGATATATTGAAACTAAGTGATTTGTGATCACTTTCCCCAAGCTCATCATTAACCTCAAGATTATTAATTAGTGATTCTTTGTTGGCAAGAACCAAGTCAAGCAGACTGTTTCCTCTAGTTGGTTCTGTCACAACCTGTTCTAAAAAGCAATCCTGAACCGTATCAACAAAGTCACTAGACTCAAGATTTCCTGTCATATTGTTCCAATCAATTTGTCTAAAGTTAAAATCTCCCATTATCACAACATTTTCATATCTAGATGCCTTATGAATTTCGTCCCATAACAGCTTACTGCACTCCCTATCAAGGTTTGGGGGCCTATAAATCACACCCAAAATTAATTTGTCACGACCCTCGAGAAACTGAAGCCAAACCGATTCTGTGTTCGATGTTTCTAATCTTATATCATGTCTAAGACAATAATTTAAATTTTCTCTGACATACATCGCCACACCACCACCCTTCCTGTTGACCCTATCATTGTGGAATAGTTTATAACCCTGTATGTTGCATTCAGAAGGCATTTCTCTATCTTTCAGGTTGAACCAGGTCTCTGTTATACCAGTAATATCTATATTACCTACACTTGCAAGTAATTTTAGCTCATCTATCTTATTTCTTAGACTCCTACTATTTGTATAGTAAACCTTAAGGGAGCTAGTCACTCATTGCCCTCTACTATCTCTCTTTGTTGATCAATTGATTTACCATTACTAGCAACTTTATTTTGAATATTGTCTTTTAACCCTTTGAGGGTCAACAGGCCCTCTCCGAGACTCGTTCTCAGGGTCGGCCAAATTTAAAAAAAAAAAAATTCTTATGAAAAGATCATAATGACACCAAAAATATGAAATTTGATGGAAAACTTACAGAATTATGCTCTCACGAAGTTAGCAGTCTTGGCGATGTTTACGCATCGGCGATTTTGCCCACTTTGAGCCCCATTTTCGGCCAGTTCCACTGTACTAGTCGACAAAAAACATAAGTATTTCGCTAGAACTCCATTTTTTCTATTGAATGAGTGCAAGAAACCACCCATTTACCAATTTCAACTATCCAGTACAGTGGTCAGAATATAGCAATTTTGCCAATTTCACACAAATTTCAAAAGATGCCAATTTCCGAATAGGGTCCAGAACAAACAAGAAATACATTCCTGGCACTAAAATGACATTTCCTCTGTTCATTAGTCACGTCTAAAGGCCCCTCTTACATTCTTTTGCTTTCCACTTTGAATTTTTATTCTCACAAAAAATAGAAGATTTACTGTTATGCAGACTACTGCATTAGTGTAAAAAATGGTATGAATCATATTGGCGCACTTGCAAAAGAATATTAGACTCACCAGTTGACGTGTACTGGACGCTTGGCATGATTTGTTTACTTTTGAACTTTGGTAAAAATCGAACATTTCTGCTACTTTGCGCTCAATTTCAAGGTACTTTTCAGTGTAAAATCAATCAAAATCATCTCAATTTCTGTGATATGCCTTCCATTCTATAAAATGAGACCAAGAAAACTAGAATACAACAATAAGTACCATACGAAAATACAGTGCAAAGTCGTTGTTTTATTCCAAAAAAAAAACGGTCAAAGTTTTTTTTTCTCATTATTCACTGTGTGCTGCAGGATTTTTTTTATACCATGCACACTGACCACATAGACCCATTCTTTCATATGGAGACCTACCAGCTTTCTCCCACTAGATTTGAGGGCGCTAGAATTTAGGCGTACTAGTACGTCAAAAACCCCTGCGCGTAAGACGTACTAGTACGTCCGAAACCCTCAAAGGGTTAAACATATTCCTGAGGTATCCCAGTAATAACTGCCGTTTTTAACCCTAATGCTGCAGCCTGATTGTTTCCCACAAACACCCATACCTCTATAATCTATCAGTTTAAATTCCTAGACAAGTCATCAATTACCCTCTCAATTGAATTGGCTAATGCAACCACTCCATCCCCAGAGAGATGAACCCCATCCCTTGCATACATATCACGTTTGCCAAAGAAAAGGTCCCAGTTATCAATGAATGGGATTGCAAGTTCCTTGCAGTACCTGTCTAGCCAGCGATTTATACCAATTGCCCTAGACATCCATTCATTGCCCACTCCCTTTCTAGATGCTACATATGACTGGGATCCCTGCCTTAGACCTAACTACTTCTATGGCTGACCTGTACTTATCCAGCAGCTCCTCTCTCCTGCCCTTCCCAATGTCATTACCCCCAGCACTAAGACAGATAATGGGTTTGTTCCCATTACCTGCCATATTATCATCCAACCTGCTGACTATGTCGCCAACACCAGCTCCAGGAAGACACACTCTCTGTCTGACCTTTCTGTCTGTTACAAAATGCACGGTCCATATATCTTACCTGAGAATCGCCTACTATTAAAATATTCTTACCTTGATTAGCAGGGGAATCAGTGGTACCTTCAACCTCACTAACCACTGAAGTACACTCGTCTTGGAGAACAGAGAATCGATTTCCTACCTTCACATCTTCTCTATTAACTCTGATCTTCCTTCTTCCTGAACTGTGAACCACTTGCCACTTAAAGTGGCTGCCACTATCACTGCTGGTGACCATTCCTACCTTACCAGCTAAATCCTTCTCACACTAGCTCCCAAACTCATCTATGCAAAGCTTCAGCTTCCTATTTTCCTCCTGGAGAAGTAGAATCTCCTTCTTCAACACATGAACCTGGGATTCTAAAGCACTACAACAAGCCATGGTATGGGTAACAGCCCACGCTAACTCCCAAGAGCTTAGTGGTATGACCGCACTTGACCACTGACCTCAGCGTACTGATGGAGAAAAATACATGTAAGTTGTCAGCTGATAGTGTTTCCACCACAGTCAAGCATCTCGTAATGTTACCAGTTACATTTCGTGAACAAGCCATTGATTTTGCTCACAATAGTCCCATTGGAGGACATTTGGGTGTCAAGAAGACACTCGGCAAACTGGCAAAACATTTTACTTGGCCAAAAATGAAGGAAACAGTAGCTGATCATGTGCGACGTTGCCACGTGTGTCAAGTGAGAGGCAAGCCAGCACACACACCTCCACCTACACCTCTCACTGAGCTTACTAGTAGCAAAGTTCAGTTCATCTGGACTAGAGATTGTTCAGACTCGTTCAAAAGGTTGAAGCGTCTGCTCTCCTCTGCTCCTGTGTTGAGGAGTCCTAATTTCAATCTTCCTTTCTTTTTACATATAGATGTGAGTGGTTATGCAGTGGGTGCTCTGCTGCTCCAACAGTCAACATCCACTGACATTCTCCATCCTATATGTTACTATTCATCTAAGCTCAAACGACACCAGAAAAATTATGCCACTATTGAGAAAGAGGCTCTAGCTCTTGTGGTATCCTTGGAACATTTTGACGTGTATTTGGGCACTTCCCCATTTAAAATTAACGTTTTTTTCAGACCACAATCCACTCACCTATATAAACACAATGAAGAGTAAAAATGCTAGGATCATGAGGTGGACTCTCAGAATCCTGCCTTACTCTATTAGTATACAACATATCAGTGGTCATTGTAATGTAATTGCTGACGCTCTTTCACGTCCTTAATTATCAGTTACATTTAATTAACGAAATTTTATGCCCAAATACACCTACCATCTGACTTACGACCTGCTTGACTTACGACCACTCGACTTACGGCCGTGTTTTTTATGCCAAATTTCTGGGAAATAAACAACTATTTGTGTTTGTACACAGTGATTATCCTAACCCTTACAGTATAAAATACAGTACTAACAACATAAGAAGTAAAGTGAAACATGAAATACCAAAATAAAACAATAAATTAAAGTCATTACAAAAATGTTTTGTTGATATTCAGTAGTAAAGTTCAGCTTACGACCGGTTTCTTGGAACCGAACTCGGTCGTAAGTCGGATGGAAGGTGTATAACTATACAACTGTTTTTAAATATTTAAAAACTTAGCTACCTGTGTACTAATATAACTTTTCCTGTCTACCAATGTAACTTTTCCTATGTACTAATGCAACTTTTCCTGTGTACCAATGTAACTTTTCCTTACCTGTCTACCAGCATAACTCTTGAAGAAATGGTTTTCAATATGAGTAATGACCAGCCTGGGGCCGGTACTATCGAAGGTACAGGCTGGCAGGGGAGGCGGGGGCAGGTATATGTCACCAATGCGAATTCCACCTTCCTCGTCGTCTTCCTCCTCTTCCATTTCTACATCTTCATCTCCCTCTTTCGTTGGTTCTGCAACTTTCTCTTTATCCTTTTCTTTGTTCTTTTCTGTTTCTTTATCTTTGTCCTTCCCTTTACTTTTTCTTTTGTTGGGTGGCGGCATATTGGTGCACAATTCTGCCCTGTTGAACAACAGTAATTGTTATCCCACAACACCTTTCACTTTACTTACTAATAACAATACACACACTGATCTATAACCATTTAACTGATATAACTATAAACAGATTCTAAAATTATAATACAACTACAAGTGTGAGTGTACTCACCTAACTTGGTTTTGAAAGGGTAAAAGTCATAGCTACTGGTGTGTGTGGGTTGTGTGGTTTTGTGTGTGTGTGTGTGTGTTGTGGTGTGTGTTTGTGTGTTAAGTTACCTTTTGGGTCCTAGCACTGTCGATTAACACTAGGCCTGTTGTATGTGAAATGCTTATATTGTGGTTGTGTGGGGTGTGTGTGGTGTGTGTGTGTGGTGTGTGTGTGGGGGTTTTGGGGTTGTGTGTGTGTGTGGTGTGTGTGTGGTTTTGGTGTGGTGGTTTGTTACCATTTGGTCCTGGCCATGTCGATTAGACACGGGCCTGTTGTATGGTTGTGTTGTTGTGTGTGTTGTTGTGTGTGTTTTTGTGGGGTGTTTTTGTGTGTGTTGTGTTTTGGTGTGTGTGTGGTGTGGGTGTGTGTGGGGGGTGGTTGTGTGTGTGTGTGTTGTGTGTGTGTTTGTGGTGTGTGTTGTGTGTGTGTGTGTGTGTGTGTTGTGTGTGTGTGTGTGTGAATGTGTCTATGTCTGTAAATAGGTCTAATGTTTTCCCTTCTGAATGTGTGCCGTTTTCTGAATGCCCCGTCCGGTCAATGGTGTTTGAATATGTGTGTTCTGAATTTGTGGTGTCGAAGTTGTCTGAATATGTGTGTGTCTAATAGGGTTTGGTCTGAATATGTGGTGTCTGAATGTGTGCGCTAAATGTGTGCGTTCTAAATGTGTGTTGTGTGTGTGCTCAGTGACTGTCCCGTCCGTCATGTCTGATACGAAAGGGGGAAAACTAACCCTACCACCCCACGCAGAATTGCTTTAAAACGGGATACCTGCCTACAGAAGTACTAGGTAGCTATGAAATTTTTACGGAGGATTTAACAGGGAAAACAAAATTTTTTTTTTAAATTCTTTAACACATATGACCAAAAATAACAGATCAAAAAAAAAAAGTCAATAGATGCATCAGGAAAAGGGATACTCAAATTTCTTTTGAATAGATCGAAAAGAGTTGAAGGACAGTGGTAAAAAACAAAGTTCAGTGCCTCAATGAACGGTCCCTTTATCATAGAAAACATACAAAATAACCAAAATTTCATATCGTCTGCAGACGGTATAAAAGTATTCAAGTCACCTCAGCAGAAGACACAGAACAATCAATTCTGTCCCCAAGACCTCCGAAAAAATCAAAAAAAAGTAAAAATATTTCGGGAACAAAGATGAAGTTTTCAAGAAGCCGAACAGCTTCCTTTCGAAGCGTTTAAAACTGGTCTCGGGTGGTTATGTGGGCCTGTAGCCACTACACAAACACCTGGTTGATAGGCGGTAAACAGGAAAGCCGGGGCCTGGGACCAGGCGCAACCATCATAGGAAAATCAGGGTTTTAAGTCTTAGGCTTTAAGGTGTGTGTGGGGGTTGTATCACCTATTGTACCACCTAGTTGAGGTTGCGGGGGTCGAGCCCGACTCCGGGCCCCGCCCTTCACTGATCGCACTGGGTCACTCTCCCTGAGCCGTAGCTTATAACCTTGCTTAAAGATGATGATCCTGCCTCCACTACATCGTTTCCCCCCAAACTATTCCACTTACTGACTATCTGTACTGAAGAAATACTTCCTAACATCCCTTGTTTCATCTGGCTTCAGCTTCCAACTGTCCCCTTGTTACTGTGTCCAATCTCTGGAACATCCGTTTTTGTCCCCTTGTCAATTCCTCTCAGATGTCGTTATCATTCCCCCCTATCTCTCCTGTCCTCCAGGTCTCAGGTTGTTTTCCCTTTAAACCTCTCCTCGTAGGACATACCTCTTAGCTCTGGGACTAGTCTTGTTGCAAACCTTTCCTTCTCAGTTTTTTTTCCGTGCTTGGCTAGGTGTGGGTTCCAAACTGGTGCCGCATCCCAAAGGGCCTAACGTACACGTGTACAGGGGCCGAATGATTCCTTATTAAGATGGGGAATTCTGTTCTGGGGTTTGCTGGGCCCACCCATATGCGCAGCATTATTTGGTTATGTGCGCTTGGGGGAATGTCCCCGGTGTTTACTCACCCCAAGATTTTTTTCCTTGAGTGGGGTTTGTACCCTGACCCCCTAACTGTAACTCCTCTGGGGCCTTCTTTCCCCTTCCCCAATCTTCATGACTTTGCACTTGGGGGGATTGAACTCCAGGAGCCTTTTGCGGGACCGGGTCTGCACCTGTCCAGACCCCCTTTAAATTTCTCCCGGGTCTTCGTCGAGTGAATTCTTCTCATAAACTTCACTCATCTGCAAACGGGGAAAACCTCAGTCATTCCTTCCTCAGTCGTTACAAATACCAAAACAGCATTGTCCTAGGACTGACCCCCGGGACCCCGCTGGTCACAGGTCCACTCTGACACCTCCCCACGTACCATGACTCGCCTGTCTTCCTGACAAGTTTTCCCCCGACCTTTTGTAGTGCCTCATTGTTACCCCTGCTTGGTCCTTCCATTTTTGCACCAAAAATCTCTTTGTGGAACTGTGTAAAAAACCCCTTTTTTTGCAGCCAAGAAATGCAACCCCCCCACCCCCTCTCTCTTGTCTTATTTTGTCACCATGTCATAGAACTCCAGTGGGTTTTGACACAGGATTTCCCGCCCTAAACCCTTTTGGGTGCTGTTGATGAACGTTCCTTTCTAGGTTTTTTCCCCCACTCTTCTCCTGAAATCTTCTCCATGATTTTGCATACATACATTCAGGACACTGTCGTATTTTAAAATGTTTCAGCCCGGGGCTCCTTTTTTAAAGTTTGGGGACTACATTTGCTGCTTCCACGCCTCAGGAAATCTCCCTTTTTCGATAGATTTTTGAATTTGTTTTTAGGGAACACATACCCTCGTTTTCCCTCTCAATACCCAGGGGGAGATGTTATCTCCCCACCCTTTGAGTATTAGCTCACTCAGAACCTTTTTCACTTCTTCCTCGGTTGTGTGCACTGTGTCCAGCACTTGGTGGGGGCCCCCCCTCTCCGTCTTTCTGGATCCCTTCTTCTCCTCTGTGAACACTTCTTTGAACTCTTTTTGATTCTTCACATACTTCACGGTCTTTTTCTTGTTTCTCTCCTCCTTCCTTCCTTACCCTGATTACCTGGCCTTTGACTGTCGTTTTCCTCCTGATGTGGCGTACAACATTTCGGGTCAATTTGCTTTCGCTGCTATTCATTTTCAATGTCTTTGGGGGCCTCCCTTTTTATCGGCATTTCGTTTCTGGCTCACGACTGTTCTCCTTATTCTCCGGGGTCCTTTCCCTTTCTATATTTTTTCCATTCCCTGCACAAACGGTTTTTCCCCCCTGCACCTTTTGGGAAAACCCTGGCTCATCCTGGCTTTTCATTATTCCTGTTACCCTTGGGTACAAACCTCCCCCCTCCTTGCATTTTGTTGCTACATATTCCTCCTATTAACGGGCTTCCCTCCATTCCTTCCCACTGAACCCTGTTCAGGTAGTTCCCATTCCTGTGAGCCCCTTTCTTGTAGTTTGGCTTCATTCGTCTGGCCTTCCTGCTTCTCCCCCACTTGTACTCTACTGTGTTTCGAAGCTTAAAACCACATGTCCGGGCCCCAAAGGGGGTCTTTCATATGGATGCCCCGATATCTGCACAAACTCAAGGTGAATACAAGTCCAGCCTTGCATTCCATCCTCTCCTCTCTCTCTTGAGTGTCCCTTACGTTTGCACATGAAGTTTTTCCAGTACCACCCCATCATCTTACCCTCCAGTATTTGGGCCCCCATGGGTCCAAGTTCTCCCAACGACTCCTTGTGGTTAAAGTCACCCATGATCAGGAGCTTGCCCGCAGCATACTCTTCTGGCCACTCTACCATGTGTCAACCACGCTCTAATTTCCTCGTCATACCTTGCCCTTGGGCCTCCTTGTTTTTTGTGGTGGGTTTTTTTCACACTGCTATTCCACCTTGGACCTCCAGATGAAGTTTCCCGTGTGTGTGTGTGTGTGTGTGTGTGTGTGTGTTGGGTTTTGTTGTTTGTTGTGTGTGGTTGGTGGTGTGTGGCGTGTTATGCGGCTGCAGCTGCGGCGTGTGCGTGTGCTGGGTCGCGGTGTGTTGACTCAAATTGCAACCAACAACTCATCACAGCTGCTACCAGAGTGGGAATTTCGAACCGTCCCACACCAAACGTTCACATTGCAGCCATGCACAAAAGCAAGCAACCATTCACAGGATTCACCACCTTTGCAAATCGTGAGCTCCCACCCCTGACCCGCTCACTATCAAAACTTTGGGCCCATCCCCCGGGCCCACCCTGCACCCTTAACTGCAAAAAACCCCTGCAACCTGCCCCCTGACCAGACCCACCTGGACTCACCACCCCGCAAATTGCGAGCTCCCACCCCGCAAATTTCGAGCTCACCACCCCAAACAACCCCCCCCAACCCCCCCCACCAAAAGGGGGGGTTTTCAAATTTGCACCCCCCCCCAAACCCCCCACGGGGGGGGGGCCCAAACCCAAAAAAACCTAACCCCGGAGTCCTTTGGACAACCATCACCTCGGAAAAAACCCGGACACACCCCCTTTGGGTTTTTGGAGGAAAAAAATCCACTAAAACTTTTCCGTTTTTCCTTTGCAGCTTTTTTACCTAACTATGCTTTATTTTGCTAAAAATTTGGATTTTTTGAGGCAAAGGTAAAACACAATTTTTTTAATCTTAAATTTTTTTTCGTAAAAATTCTTGTTTTTATTACGTAAAATTGGGAAAAAAAATTTGGGAAAGAGGCAAAAACCCCCCAAATTTTGGATGGGTGGGTTATTAGGATCTTTAAAATTTTTTACAAGTAAAATTTCAAAAGGTTTTCCCAATCCTCTAAATTTAATGGCCCCCAAATCACAATAATTTTTTAAAAACCTTTAAAAACCCCCCAATTTTTTATT